GACACACTGATAAATGGTAGCTGTTTAAGAAAACAATATGTACTATTCCTAACGAAGGATTCACAGGAGAGTTATCTTCCCTCTCTTCAGTGATGGTCTTACATACCAAATCTGGTTTCACCCGGTGAATCAGGGGAAAGGAGATCCACATGGAGCGCAGGGTGGTAATCACTGTGGAGAGCCAGGACTGCTGAACCTCTCGGCTTCTTGGAATTTGGTGAATGTAGTATTTGGTATACTGGAAGGAAATAGTAGAAATCCACATCAACTGGGTCACTGATGCCAAAGTTAAACATAGAAACAGCTAACACTTGTAGAAATAGGAAATGCTTGTTTATTTTTAATTTTCATTCTAGCCATTTTAAAATTAGAGTTGTAAAGCCACTCACATCATTGAACTATGACAGAAAAGTTCCTAAATATGATTAAAAAAAATGTTAAAGTCAGTTTTGACAATAAAGTTGGGGGAGATTTTCTATAAAATATGTTTTAGTTAAAGAGCTTAACATACTGATATACAAAGAGTTCTTATTGATGTATAAAATTGATGTATAAAAGAAATACCTAGTAACAAGATGGGTAAATAAGATGGATAGATAATTACCGAATTGATGTATAAAAGAAATACCTAGTAACAAGATGGGTAAATAAGATGGATAGATAATTACAAACAATAAATACAAATAACCAATAAATAACATGGCTAACAGTTAAACACAAAAGAAAACAGTCATTTTTCACCTACCTGACTGGCAACAATTACAGATACTCAGTGTTGTTGAGGGTTTAGGGAAACAGACATTTACATAGCCTGGGAAAATACATTGGTGTAACTTTTTGGGAGGGCAGTCTGGAAATATCTATCAGAATTTTAAATATGTCTACATTTGATCCAGCATTTCCACTTCCAGAAGTATACCCCACAGATTTACCAACATGTTCATCCATTACCACTGTTTTTACTTGTGGAAATTGGAAATAGAACAAATATCCTCCAAAAGGGAATAAAGAAGTTCATAAAATAAAATATATGGAGATACGTTAACAAATGGCATAGATCCATATGAAATTATATGGAAGAAATCCCAAGACACATTAAGTGAATCAACGCAAACTGTAGGACGATATGTTTAATATGTTTGGTGTCTATTAACAAAACACTCACACACACGTGTTTGTATACACATATGTATACACATAAGTATTTGCATGGAGAAAATCTGGAACTACATGCCACAAACTACAAACAGGATAATACTATAGGAAATTTTCATTTTCCAGGTCATAAATATCTATGTTTGAAATTCACAACAAGAATGTACTATTATTTTCTTAGAGATACCAACATACTTTCCTTGAATCAAAGTTCCAGGTATATTGGTTATCTATTACCGTGTAACAAATTATCCCAAAACTTAACAGCTTAAAACAAGTACTTATTTGCTTCTCTCAGTTTCTGTGAATCACGAATCCAGCAGCAATTTAACTGGGTTATTCTAACTTGCAGTGCCTCATAAACCTGAAGTCAAGTTGTTGGCTGGGACTGTAGTCATCAGAAATCTTGACTGGGGCTGGGGAATCTACTTCCAAGGAGGCTTGCTCACATGTCTGGCAATTTAGTGCTTGTTGCTGGCTGGTGGCCTTAGTTCCTTGCCAAATGCACCTTTACATAGGGCTACTTGAGTGTTCTCATTACACAACAGCTAGCTTCCCAGAAGTAAGTACTCCAAGAGAGGGCACAGCAAAACCACGTCTTTTATGACCTAACCTCAGAAGTAAACTTTGTCACATCTGCAAAATCTCATTGGGTACACAGGTCAGTCAACCTTATTCCATATGGAAGGGACTACACAAGGGCATGACTACTAGGAGGTGAGAATCACTGGAGGCTTTCTTGGAGCCTGGCTACCACACATTTAAATCAGAGTAAAGAACTAAATATTTAATATATTCTCCCTCCCCGACTTGGCCTTGAGGAACTATACGCTCCTTGGAAAAAGAACAGAAAGCCTTCTTCTAAATTAGTGGAAAACACATAACTACTAGCTATGTGTTATGCTTTTCTGCATTCAGGAAAAGGTATAAAATTGTGTTCAGAAACTTCTGTATACTCCAAGAGGGCATGAATGCAGTTCTTACATACTTAGTACTATAGACTATACAGAAAACAGTAACCAAGTAAGGACAAACTTTTTTGAGGTCTATGCTTGTCTAGTTTGTGGAGATTATTAATTGAAAACAAGTAATAGGCCAAGAAATATCATAGAGCCAAAATCCCTTCTCGGAATCCTTTTGGGTCAGAAATGTCTGGACAGGTAATGTGGTGCAAATAACATCATATCCCCCACTGGAGTTTGGGGAAGTAATCAAACATATTAATATTTCTGCAGTAAAACATGAATATTCACAATAAGTGCGATAAAGGCTATAAGCCTCATGGCAGTTCAAATTAGGTTTTGATGTTAAGCTTGTGGCAAACTTGGAATTTTTTTTTTCTAGTTTTCAGAACGTTTTAGGATTTTAGATAAGGGACTATGGACCTGCACTACAAAATACATTTGAACCAAGAGATGTCATGTCATTGTTATTATTATAATAAAAATAACCCAGTAGCTTTCCAAGTATGTGATGTTATGAAAACAAACAAAAACCTAGTAGGGTCCTATTATATAAAAGTTGTTTTTGTGGTCTGATCTCAATATCTGTAATATTTTCTTCAAAAAAGCATGTGTTTATTATGTTCCTTTAATTTTTAAAAACTGTGAGCACATAACTTTGTAAAGAAGCAATGAATAATATTTCTGGATTACAACTGAACAGCAGCATCCTGAGGGACTGGAAGGATGATAAATTTGATTCTGGCTCCTCTAATTCTATCTTAGCTGCTAGGAGGCAAAAATCCAAGCCTGGTAAGGCCTATGCAAGGGTTTCTCGAGCTGGAGATAGCTTTCCTAGATCTGAACATTGAAAGAGTCTACATCTCATCCCTAGCAGCAGTGTGAAAGAGGCAAGAAAATGGGTTAGGAAGTCCTGGTCCATGATCAGAAGAATGGAAACTACTGTAGGCATGTTCTGGGATGGGAACTGAGGGACCTCCAAGACACAAACTGGAAAAACAGGCCTGAGAATAAGACAACAAGACTAACTAAAGTTTGATGACTTCTCTTTTGATTTCTGGATGCAACATACAAGGAGTCAACCTTTCAGCCTCTAGACCAGATGCTTTGTTGGGGAGGGGAGTCTTGGTTCCACTTGTGTGCTGGAGCTAAGTGGGTCAATGACCACATGTCTACAGTGACCAATCACCCAGTTTGTAGAGGATGGTCCCAGTTTATACCTGTGTCTCAGCATAATTATTAACAGTGCCCTATTCTGCTCTCAGAAGTATGCCAATTTAATCCAATGAGTAGCTTCTTCCAAGTCAGAGGGAAAGATATTTACTCAGAACAGCCTGCAGGGGCAATGTGATGAGGGAATCTTCATTAAAGTCAAGGATGAGAGTTTAAATGGTAGCTTGGAAGAGAGCCAAGCTAAAAGTCCTAACAGTGAGATAAACGTGACTGGCAAAAGACAGCAGAGTCCATATGGTGCCACTCTCTGGTTTACAGCTCTACTCTAGAGAAGCCTCCACCTACAAATCCCATCCAAATCTTCACATTATTAATTTTGATAATAAGTTCAGGTAACCGGAAATCCTACTAATAAGAGAGCGCTCTCTAACTCCATGTCTCTGCCCAAGTGTCCCCCACCATTATGACATATCAGTTCCCCTCAGAGGCACCCTTCCTGACTAGCCTTTTTAAAATAATCCTCTTCTCCATAAGAGAGCGCTCTCTAACTCCATGTCTCTGCCCAAGTGTCCCCCACCATTATGGCATATCAGTTCCCCTCAGAGGCACCCTTCCTGACTAGCCTTTTTAAAATAATCCTCTTCTC